ATCATATGGACACTTTCTTTTTTCAGGTTTTCATTTTCCTTTTTTTTTTTTTTTTTTAACTATAGATTATTTCCTTAATTGGGGTTACTGGTTGATTTCAAGGCAGGGGACTACAGTAAAATTGCCATTACTTCCTCATGTTTAATTCCAAATCACATGCCTTATATGGTATTAACTGCATGATTCTCTCTATGTCAAAAGAAAAAAAAATTATAACAAATTTAAATATATTAATAGGTTTTATCTGCAATTTTAGAATTGGCAACACTTCATTCCACAAGTTGGAATAAATATTCCCATGAGCTGAGCAGAGGAGGTTGATTTTATAGATAGTAAAGGGCTGAGGAAAGCAAAACAGAAAACAAAATGTGGATTGGTCATTTCAAAGTTACTTTTCTGTAAAGGTTACAGCAGAAAAAAAACAAAAACAAAAACAAAATAAAACAAAAGTCCTTATCATGTCTGCTAGGATTGGCCTGTTTGGGGATTGGGCTATTATCTCTCTCTCTCTCTCCTTATTTCTCAGAAGGCAGATAAATAACTTATTTTCAGCTTGGTGACTAGAACTTTTGCATAATCAACACCATTTTTGTTTGGTCTGTTGGGCCTGGTGCAGGAGAAGGAGGCTTAATCCTGACCAATGGCCTCCTGTAAATTTTATTTAACACTCATAAGAGTTAGTACAGCAGGCTGAGACTTCTATCCTTAGAAAGGCCTGCTTGGAGGGTTTGCCCTTGGCTGGGATCCGGGAACTTAATTGGTAATCAGTTCCTTACATTGATATAAAATTTTCTGTAAATGATAAGAGTGGCTGTGCCTAATCTGTTTGTATAAATATAATTTATTATATTACTTGTTATCGTTATTACCATAGAGTAGAATGCACTTAATTATCTTGTGAAGTTAGCCTTTCCTCTCTCTTTATTTTTCAGTATTTTCCTAGCCTGTCTTGTACGTCTATTTTCCCCTTGTAAATTTCACAGTAACAATGTATAGACAGTTGGTATATTTACTAAATATTCTAGACAAGCACAACTATATCCTTTTCTATTTTTCCAAGTCTAGTGTTAAGTGCAGAACTTTTATAGTTAAGCTTATTTACAGATTTATTTTAAGTTTTCCTTTTGCAAATGAGATATTTCAATCTTTTTCCCCATTATAATACTTAATTTTTTAAGCATCTAGGGAATATATTGATTTTTGGATATTATCTTTGTGTACATCAACCTTATTGATTTTTTATTGTTTATAATATATTTTCAATTGATTAGGTGGAGTATTCCAGAATTATCAGAACATCTGAGGGAAAAGGTCTTATTTTTGCCACTTGCTTTCCAATTTTCATTTCCTTCTCTTTTCAGGTACATTGACTGATACTTACAGATCAATGCTAACTAAGAGTGGAGATAATGTACCGTCCTGTCTTAGTTTTTACTTTAGAGAGAATGCTTCTAATGTTTCACAATTGAGCACCTTCCCAGCTTTCAGTCTGATGTCTCTTTGCCTATTTGTCTCCATAAAAGTTGATCTATATTAGTTCCCATTAGGTCATTATTTCAACTTCTTCTTGCAGAATATTAGTCTTGTACAATTTCAATGTGTGAATCAAGGTCTTCTTTTAATTTCAGGAAAGCCTTATCCTTGTATTTTGTTGTGTTTTCTGTTTTAATTTTTCTGTTTCTATCTTCAGGAACATCAGTATTTCATATAGTAATGTCCTTCGTTTGCACATCCATTATCTCTTTTAAAAATTAGTTTATTTGATGTTCTCAAACTGTTCTCTATGTCACTGACTCTTTCTACCACCAAATATTTTTTCATTTTTTATTGCTTTTAATGTGAATTGCATTTCTGTTCTTATTTTACAATTCTCCTCCATTTCTGTTTTGAGCTCTAACAGATCACTTGTAAACTCATTCTGTTTTCTTATCTCTTTTTTGAATACTGAAATTCTTTCTGTTTTGGATTCAGAAAACCATTATTTCATTTAACACCTTTGGTTTCCTGGAGAAACACTTGGTATACTTTCATACCAACTCTTGGTCCTGTAAGATTTCACCCAGCCTGGCTGGAAGTCACTGGTTTACAGGGAGGCTCCCTGTGTCCTAGTGTATGTGCAGTGATTTAGAATTCTCTTCCACTAGTTGTCAAAACTTTAATCCCTCAGTCTGTCAAACTGATAGTCTTTTGTTGGCAATAATGGCATAGTGAGTTCCCTGCCTATTATGCTATTCTGATTTTAAGCAGAACTCAAATATGGTTCAGCAGCCCTTTTCACTGACACAGACCATGTCATATTAAGGAAGTGTCATTGGCTTGTCCCCTCAGAAAGCTCTGACTACTCTTAAGAGATTTTGAGTATTCATGAAAGCTGGTAACACATAATGCCTTTCTAAGTGTCCTCCCTAAATCATGTCTAATTTCACCACATTAGCCAAATTTCTGTATCAATTGTGGTTTGGGACTGTGACTGTTTCCTGTTGTCATAAAAGAATAGAGTTTCATTTGTGTTTTTCATTCTTATTGATTTTGGTCTACTGGAAAGTGGAAAGCAGGGCAAATCTATCATTGTTAACTTAAACATTTTAGCAGTAATTCTAAAATTATTTTTGTCTATGATCTGCTTCCCCAGATTCTTGGTTTTATTTAGTTAAACTTAGGCAGTTACTATAACATAATTTTTAGCCATATTAAATTATTTTTGTTCTCCATGATAAGATTGCTTCTGGATTTGATAGAAGCTAAAACATTTTATATTTGATCACTAAGTTCTTGATTTGTGGCCCTGTGCTTTAGTGATGTCATTGATTCACTCTTCAGTTTACTGGCTTTACCGATATCATGGTATAATATCTGAGCAAAACATAGGTCAAAATACCTGATTTTTGTCTCGTCTTGACTAGGACTTTCTTGATTATACATGATAATTCATATATAATGGAAATATTCACAACTAACTTATTTAACATAAAGTTTAACCTATACTGTAATAAGTCAGAACACATATGCAACTATCAACTTATTGGAAGTTATATGTGGCATTTCTAATGGGATACAAGTTCCTGACAAATAAGCTCTGCATTTTTAAGTATGTTTGTTTAATTCAAACAACTGGATGAGAATATTAGGCTCTATGCAATGGTAGCTACTATCCTAATTACACTTTTAATTGAGTAGTCAACGTTAAATTAAATGTCTACAGCATGCTACCTGAGTGACAGCAGGAAACAACTCAACTTGCCTTGGAGACTCATTCAATTATTTGATGTAAGCCAAGTAACTAATATAACTGTAATATACTTCAGGAAAAGAGAAAAGGAAATCACCAGAATAAGGATAGTCAGAAAAGAACAAAATAGGAATTGAGTTGAAAATATACATGACACAGAATCAGAGGTACACACACACACACACACACACACACACAGACACTTAAGGAGTTGTAGGAAACGTGGAGAATGAAGGCAGAACAAACAGCCTTCATTCAAGGCCACAGGAGCAGAACTAGAATGGAGAAATAAAATGTAATTCTATCAATACAAAGAGGGGAGAGAGTAGCAAAAATTCCAAAAAACAGTAACCAGAACTCTATGAGGAGAGAAAGTTATTGTCTTAGACCGATCGATTTTTGTTTATCTAATTAAACTATATCTTTTTCCAAAAGCACTTTAAACCAGATTTCAAAATCTATACATAGCAAAATCAGTAGATAAGAATAGATTGAAAAAAATAATAATTGGGTGAGAAAAAAATAAAGCTAAATAAAGCTAAAGATATGTTAATAAACAACATGCATGCCATACAGTCCTATTTAGGTTCTTAAGAGAAGAAGTTAACATGCAAATGTGGTCTGTTACATGATTTCCAGGGGCCATAGAAAAACAATCCAGCTGTTCACCAGAAGCACAGAGGTCGAAACTTCAGGGAAATTTATCTTATATGTTTTTAATCAAGAGAATAGACTGTGTAATAGAGTTGATGAAGCTTTCAATGCCATTTCTACAGTAAATCTGATATACGAGTCTTACTGATGTTACTATTGTTTTTTCAGTTCAATCCAAATCATAACTGCATAAATATTTCTGAAAAAGCAATTATGCAAATATCCAGATAAGCCACTCCCAGATGGTCTGGTTTATCCAAGAGCAAAATTTAAAATACCCAGAGAACATCATGTCTTTCAGATAATCCTCAATGAAAATTATTTCCACAACAACTAAATCATACATGAGACAGTTTTTTCATAATATAGTCATTATGTACCCAAAGATAATTTGTCAAATAATTTCTGTCTAGAAAATGAAGCTAATTAGTTACATGTTTCCTGAATGAGGCTACTCATGATTCAATACCCTCTACTTACCTTATTTTCGGCTGGTTGCTGTTTCCTTCTCTGGAGGGAGTTATTCCATTATACACAATGTGCAAGAAAATTATTCTTAGGTATAGCTCCCTGGGTTGTTGTTTAGAGCAGATTTTGTTTATAGGGTAATTCTGAAAATGCTCTAAACTTGGAGAGATTACAAGTATGCCTTTTTCTATTAACTCAGTAAAATAAGTATCTGAATTTAAAATCCCAATACTTCAGCCTCTAAGCAATTTTGTTTTCTATTATAGGGAAATGACAGTGTCTACACATAGAGAAGAAGCAGCATCTTTTCATGAAGAATCGCTCATGCTTCAGACTTTGAAAGGAAAATCAAAATAACTCAAGTAATACAGGGCCTAAACGTGGGCACAATATAAACAACACTGAGAAACTCACACAAGCTCAGAAGCCTTAAATTTGGGGGTAGCTTATCCTAGGTTGTGCCCCTATGTAATCCAGAAGTTATTACACAATAGGGGCTGTCTTAGGTACTCATGATCTTGACAGACAGGCCCGTGTAGTTAACAGTAATTAAAATGTTACCTTAAATCAGCAGCTTTCCCCGTCTTTCTTATACACATCTAGATGTTGACAGACAGGCCCGTGTAGTTAACAGTAATTAAAATGTTACCTTAAATCAGCAGCTTTCCCCGTCTTGTTAATACACATAACCTCTCTGGTCTGATATCCAATCTGGATGTCCCAATATTTGTTCTCTTGTCTGTTCTGTCTGTTTCTGTTTCTCTTTTTCTTAATAAGTTCGCGGGCTTCTGGATCCTTTACTCCTTTGCTGCGGTCCTTTTCCCGTTCTTTATTCTTCCCGCGTCTCCTTGCTTGTCTCACTTGTCGGGAGTGGGGCATTGAGCAGGTGCTCCAGGGCCCCACATGCAGGCTATACATGAGCTCCTCGGCCTCGCATGGGCTGGATTGGCACACCTGGAACTCCGTCAGGTTTGGACAGCCAGAGCCTCCGAACTGCGGGGGCGCCACCACATGACGCGTCCGGTGCTGAAGCCCGCTGCCGCAGGTCTTGGAGCATTCGGACCAGGCAGAAAACTCAGACACAATGCAATCTTGCTGGCAAGGAATGAGGCAAGCCTGCTCCAGGAGAGGCTTGGGCTCAAAGTACTCACAGATGGTATCCTCCGCAGGAATATCTTTGTCTTTCTGGATGCACACTATCTCCCTCACCTGAATACCTTCTTCCCCCTTAATGCATTCAAGAGGTTTCTCTAGGCTTTTTGAAATCACAGGCTGACACTGATTCCAAGGTCCCAGTCTCCAGTCGTACAACTCTTTGTGCCAGTCGCAAACTTTGAAACAATTCTGCTGGTTATTGGGTCTCTCGGCCTGCTTACAGTTAGTATGCAGTGTAGTCCATCCCTCCACATGAGCACACCACACAGCCCTCGTTTGGATGCCTCCTGGACCACATTCATCTCCCATGCATCGGCCCCATGGACCTACAAAAATTGCAACACAAAAATTAGCAGTGCTACTAGAAGAAAACTACAAGTTATTGCACATTCCAGAAAGACTTTTCAAGACCTAGTACGTTAACTTCCCTGAGGTGTTATAAAGTAGGTCTCTGGATTGGATTGTTGGAAAGTAATGATCCACACTAAGTAGTTTTGCAAAAGGGGAACTGTGTCACAGAGTCTATATAAGGTAACTTCTGGGACAATTTCACTTTGGGTCCTTTAGGGATTACTAAAAGTTTGGTTTTGTTCATTTCCTTTGTTTTATGTAGTTGGAAATCCTTGCTGATAAAGGACATCAGAAATTAGTCTCAGTGAAAACTCATTACTCCTGCCTCACAATCATCAAATCCATTTCAGTAACTGGCAGAGAAAATGGCCCCGTGTGAAGAACTTCTCCTGCAGGCATTTCTCTTCCTGGACAATTAAGTATTTTGTGGAACTTGCTCTCTTCTTCATCATTTTTTATTTTCATAGACTATGACTGCAAGGGTCTAATAGTTGTATATTATGTGTGTCAATAGAGCTTAAAGTGTTCACTCTCTGGCTACCAAAGCTAGGAAGCAAAAATCTTCATTTACACACATTCTGCCTTTAAATTTACGAACTTCCCCCCCCTCCATTTCCCAAGTGAAGTATAGAGCTGGGTAAGGGGATTTAAATTTAACTAAAAGATTTTTGCAATTTTCTAATCATTGAGAGGTTATTTGGGGTCTTATTTATTTATTCATTTCTTAAACATGAAATATTTGGTATTACAGAGCTGTTTTATGTGATACTTAAATCAGTGGCTTTAATATGAAATGTGGGGTTTTTTTTTTCTGTGAAATCCTTCTTAGAATAGATTTAAACCTTATATTTGCATATATTATTTTTTTCTAAGGTAGATGATATGATTTTCAGTGCTTTAACAGACAGATCCCAATTTATGAAATTGAGAATTGTGAAATTTTGGAATTATAAAGAAACTTAAAGATCATATAAATTATAAAGAAACTTAAAGATCATATAATTACATGATTTTCAAAAAGTATTCCAAGAATTTGAGAAATTGTTTGATGTGCCTTAAAGCCATTTTCCATCTGTTGTGTGGGAAGGTGAGGGCCAACATGTGGGGTGGGTTCTAGTGCCCCTCATACTCTTACACTGCTGCCATCCTCCCTGATTGATGCTTTTATAAGAAAAACTCTATTTGTATTATTAGTTTTATTCACATGGGGATTAGGCATAAGATTATGTCTGCAAGAGGTTTCTACTGTGGAAATGTGAAACCTGCTAAAGTAGGTCAATGGATTCACTCTATGGATGAGAAAAACAGGAAACAAGAAGGGAAAGTGATTTGCTGAGTTCAAATATTTAATGAATAACAAAACGAATCTGGAATTTAGGTTCCAGTTCTAACTTTTAGTTGTACGATTTCTCTTTAAATCTTTAGCCTCAGTTAGTTTCTTCTGTACATACCAATTGTTAGTATACAAATAAAGAAATATAAAGAATGTGCTAATCATATTTAATCTAAACATTTAATTTTGCCTAATGAGAAAGATGTTTAAAGTTTGTCAAAAATTTTCTTACAAATGGCATTATGGAGTTGTAACTAGAATAGAGACTTGCTGTAAATATTGTGCTAACTAATCATTATTGCATGAAAGTAAATATTGGATAGTTGGCATACCCTTATCATTCCTTTATGAAGTTTGCATGTAAGAAATTATAAGGGATATAAATGCTTATTAGGGATGTAACATTCTTATAAGGGATATAAAATACTCAAGGAGACTGGGAAACAGTCTCCTTGAAGTATTAATAATGAAACTTTATGGACTTAGAAAGCCAGTGGGTTTGTTGCATTTGTCCAAATGCAATTCACCTAATAATATTTTAATCTTATTTTTAATTTGCCAAAGAAAAAATACAGGTTCACAAATCTGGTGATATTTTCTTAAAGATTTTCTAAATACTCACTTTGGGAACCACAGAATCTAGGATACTTCTCAAAATTAGAACCTAGTAATATGTATGAAATTTTCTAATTAATTCCACACACCCTTGGCATTTATTCCCCATCCCCACTGTGCTTGAACAAAACAGTGGTCCTTATTTAACATCTGAACACAACATATAAAGACATAGTTATATTAGACTCTCAAATTAGGAGTAAGCTATATGCCATTAAGTCTGAATTTGAAAATATAAGTGTCTTATACTAACTCAGACTCTAAATCCCAGATGTAATTTAGTTGAACTTCCTGATGTATTATTTTTTTCCAATTTTTAAAATTAATTATGAAATTAGACTGACTAATCAGATTGAGGCTACTAGTCCTTTATCTTCAAAGTGTAAACAAATGATTTTTTATAGCAAACTTATAAGGGTGTCACTTAAAAAACGTAACTGTACATTTTTAGGTAAGCAGCACTATTACTAATAGATGTGATTGGGCCGGGCGCAGTGGCTCACGCCTGTAATCCCAGCACTTTGGGAGGCTGAGGCAGGTGGATCACAAGGTCAGGAGATCAAGACCATCCTGGCTAACATGGTGAAACCTCATCTCTACTAAAAATACAAAATATTAGCCAGGCGTGGTGGTGGGCGCCTGTAGTCCCCAGCTACTTGGGAGGCGGAAGCAGGAGAATGGCGTGGACCTGGGAGGCGGAGGTTGCAGTGAGTCGAGATTGCGTCACTGCACTCCAGCCTGGGCAACAGAGAGAGACTCCATCTCAAAAATAAATAAATAAAATAAAATAAAATAAAATAGATGTGATTTACTAATTAATGTCAATTAATGTTTTATTACAGAAATCTGAGTATACAAAATGTGAATTGACTTCAAGTCTATATGTTATTGCTAAGGAAAACATACATACTGAAAATAACTTTTTTTCCCTAAAACAACTATGAAACAGAACTATGCTACACTAGTCAACTCTTAAGTCTGAAAATTACCTTAAACAGGATAAGGACTGGTGAAGATATTAAACTCTTACAAACCAAATTTTAGCAAAAAATCTTGGCTTAAAGTGATGGTTGCTTTGAAAATGATTATCATTTACTGACATCAAATTATGGAGAGCTCCCTTTTCACACACGTTCCAGAGCACCATGTATGTTTCTCACATAATGTTTAAATGCTAGTCACACTTTCGGTTAGTAGAATCAGTAATTTTTATCAAACATTTAATATCTGTTTATCACATTAGACTCACTCTATAGTCCCATGAGGACAGGCCCTTGTCTGTCATCTGCAACAGCTGCAGACAGTACACACAGAACAAGTTCAATAATATTTATTGAATGAATGAATAAAATCAGAAGCCAAATCAATAAAATAATTCTAATCAATTTGTGATTCAACAGATGCCATTTGGACAACTAATTGTGGATAAAGACAAAATGTGTTTTTCCTTTAAGCCATTCCAATATATTATGAATTATCTTGAGATTTTTTATTTTTATCTAATTATTGAAAACACAAGAAGATACTAGTGACATAACTTAAAAATACAGATCTATATTTAATTACAACCAGAACCACAGTGTAATCTTGAGAATGTCTAATTTTTCCATGTTACCTGTTGTAGTAATATTACATATATTTTGGATAACTAAATATGCACAATGTTTTTCTGAAATTAGTATTGTCTTGGAGGCAGATTTCAGATGATCACGGGTGTCAACAACAGGATTTCTTACTAGAATATTCTCTTGTGTTCAGAGCTAGTTAAAAGCACATATTTCTGCAATGATTTTCAGCTACATAGAAAAATATAATATTTTGTTTCTACTCAAGATGTATAAATGCCTTAAGAAATAAAAGAAACAGTCCATATAAAAGTTTAATAATATTGGCATCTTATTTATAACATTGTGAATCAAATGTTCATTTCCCACTTTACAAAAATAAAAATGCACTCCCAAAAGGGGTTGAGAAGTATATTTTCATCTTTAGTTTTGAGAAACTAAATTTTCTCAACCAAGAACATTTCTAATCACCTAGTTCTTCATTGATTTTTCACAATGTTGATCCCACTACAGAGGCTGGTGAGTCAATGAAATAATTCTTTGATCACTTACTTTAAAAATTACCATTTGACATATAGAAATATTGACAAGTGTTGTTTCAAATTCAGAATTCATTATATAAGATAGCTCTCACTTTGATGTTCCTCATAGAATACCAGGAACATCACCTACGTGTGTGTATACATTTTACATATGCTTAATTAGCTAATTATATTTGTAAAAGCTTTGCACTTCTGCTAATTTAATGGAATAACCTGTTACATTCCATGGTTTGAACATGTCTTTTAATTCCCATGGCTTACTTTTAGATAAATTGCCTCAATAATTTTGTTTAGAAAGGAGAGAAGTTAATTTATAGATCTTAATATCCAAGGCATTATATTTTTGATGTCAATGCCAGCAGGAATAAAGAGATTGAATTCAACAATATTATTATATATAGATAAGGCACAAGAATTTCTAAAGTTTGCTTAGATAACTAAGAAAAACATATGTTATAAATATAAATATATTCCAATTCCCATTTCAATACTATTATCACAGATTTTTATTAATCAGCTACTCACAGATAACACTGTGGGATTTATTTCATTCCACGTATATTTACATTGAGAACCAGCAGATAACATATCCTGAGAAAACTTCATGGAGATATATAAAAATACCTACTGAGGCTAAAGGAAAACAATAAAATGCATGAAGGCACCAGCGAAAACAGAGGTGGAAGTATAATCACGACTGAACCTAAAAAATAAAAATACCCGTTATCCCCCTTGTAGGCTTTAACTATACTTATCTTTTCATTGCACCTTGAGTATCACATGTGTGTCCAATTAACCAACCTCTTGTAAGATCAGATCTTCCCCACAATACACACGATGAAGGGCTGTCTACCTCTTCCCTCCAAGCAGTCTTGACACAAGTACACATTGAAAGGGACCAAATTGAATAGAAAAAGGAC